CAGGAATGATGGGGCTCACTTATAGAAAAGCATCTAAGGTCACCCTCTCTGGAATACATGCAAGAGAATAGCTCGTGTGAACCACTCCATCACCAGGAACTGCAAGAATCAACTTTCTAGGTTCAAAGATCCTGTTTGAAAATGTAAAATTATCTAACAGGAAGAAATTATTACTACAGCAGATGAATACCACAGTATTTGTAAGTAATATGCAGTAGGATGTGGATTCCTCTAACACAATTCTGCTAAATCACTACACAAAAAGTTAAGACATCTTCACCAAATGAGCCATGCTGGCATGAATGATGTGGTACACAAGGGGTTAAAGGTTTTTGGTTTGTTTTTTTAAAATATGCAAGCAGGAAGCACTAGGTAATAGTATGTGAACAAATTCTATACCAACAACTCTTTAATGCAAAACCAGGAATGGTCAAACCAGCTTTCTGAAAACGTATTAACTGCTAAATTGTAATAAGCGCTTCTAGATAAAGAGACACACAGATAAAGCTCAGGATTTACAAACTGTCACACAGAATAACTAAAAGCAAAAGCAGCAACTCTGCAAATGCACACAGCCACTTTTTGAAGCTAAGCATGTGCTCAGTTTTGTAGGCTCTCATGGCACATGTCTTGGCCCTTTATCAAGTGGAAGTCATTAACCAGAAAGAGACCATTTTGCCTGCATGTCAGACAGTCTGCAATTACAGATGGGTTCTGGAACAGTCTTTCAATAGACAAAAGAACAGTAAAGACCTATTTTTAATCAGAAGTGTCTTTTATCATGAGGGGGAAACAATCCCATGATAAGAACAGTCTTGGAGTGGGGCCCTAACTTAGATTCTGGAATTTGGGCCAGAAAGAGCAATTAGTATTTCACTCTCTGTATACTCTTAAATGTTATATAACTAACATATCAAAAACTGTGTTTAGCATCAACTACATCATAGGAAAGCACTTATTTTCCTAATTGAGTATAGATGTGGCTTAGTGAGCTGTTTTTCTTTAGAGAGCACTTGAGGACATTAAGACCTCCATTAGGGCACACTAGAACAAGCTTTACACGGTGCTTTCCCATCAGACTGCAGAGCTTTCAAAGGCAAAGCCTCCAGCAAAGCTCAAGGATAGAGGAAACACTTTTTTTTCTTAAGTGTCTTAATAAGATGCACTGTCCTAACCACTTGAGGGGTGGGGAAAACAGCTCCCCACAAAAACACACTTACAGTCTTTGTAAGGAGCTGCTGACCTGTCACTGTGTTATTTTAGCCTATGGTATCTATAGGCATCACCAGGTCTACTCTGAGCAAGGGAAGGCTGAGGTGTGCATCACCCCCTAGTATGAGCCGTGCCTCTGGAGGGGCCCCGCCCCCCGCAGCAGCCCACCAATCAGACAGAGCCAAGACTAACCCTAGAAACAGCCTGGCCAATGGGGGTGGGGGGCGGAGCCCTCCCATACCATCAGCCTCCACGTTTGGGGGGCTCTGGGGATGTCCGGCTGTGATGGCACTTCCAGTGCTGATTCCTGCCTGCTGGAACTTCCCCCGGGACCCCCAGGCAGTGCCCTCGGCAAGGCTCACCTGCAAAGCACCGATGGCAGCGCTCTGAAAGCGCAGATCTGTCTTGAAGTCCTGAGCAATTTCACGCACCAGACGCTGGAAGGGGAGTTTGCGGATCAAAAGTTCGGTAGACTTTTGATAGCGCCGGATTTCACGGAGGGCCACGGTCCCCGGCCTTTGGAAATCAAATTACAATTAAAAAAATTATTACTATGCAAAATATACTCTGCATCACTTTAAAAATATAGGCTCATCATCCAAACTAACCTAAGCACCGCACACCGTCGGTTTTCCCATGGAGAGTCTCAACATTTACAATACAAAACTGGTTTCACTGGCAAGGGGTCACTGTCTTAGCATCAGTCTCTGCCAACTTCCACTGGCCTCAACAAGGACCCCTGAGGCAGGTTCACAAGGCCCTCGAGGCTTGACTTCACCAAGACAGGAGGTGGACAGCACACGCCGGCCAACTGACACCAACACAGCTCAGTGCAGACATGGTAAAGCTGCCCAGAGTTACTTGGTTTCAGACATAGCACAGGTACCCTCCCAGCAAACATGATTTTCAGGGGAATCTGGCAGTTCTCACCGACTGACATAAGACAATGTCAACATTCACAGAACTAACAGAATTTATATTCTGTATTATAACGTCAGTACAAAGTTTCTAGAATTTATTTCCTTGTGTTGGTGTCAGAATGGCAAATTCAGATTCAAAACATATTTTTGCACACACAAAGTCCACCTATAAAATTAACACCATATTTATTTCTGTGGAAACTTTGTATTTTCCTGCTCCTGTATTTTCCTTTCTCCCAAGTGATTAATTCTGCCTCACGCCTACAGCAAGAGACAGAACGGGTAAGGTCGGAAGGGACCACAGCAGGTCATCAGCGCCAACCTCCCTGTTCAAGCAGGGCTGTCCTAGAGCAGGTTAGTCAGGATTGCATCTAGATGGTTTTTGACTATCTTCAGGAAAAGAGTCCACAACCTCTCTGTGCAATCTGTTCCAGTGCCCAGTGACTTGAACAGTAAGTTCTCCCTCATATTCAGGCAGAACGTCCTGTGTTCCAGCTTCTGCCCATTGCCACTAGTCCTACCGCTTGGCACCACAGAGAAGACCCTCTTGATGCCCTCCCTTCAGACACCTCTACACATCGATAAGATCCCCTCTCAGACTTTTACATTAAGTTCACCATTTCACACCCACTCCTCCTTCCCGATCCGTGTTTTCCCCAACGAACACAAGACTAAGCACGACACTCTGCCCCGAGGAAGGGCT